CCATTTCCCCCAACCTCCCCTGCCACACCCCCAAGGAGCCATTAATCCAGTTACTGGCTCTTCAGATTTACCTATCCTGAATTTCGTAAATAGGAAAACATTAAAAAATGAGCAAAACTCACAAGAAATAACAAAGTAAAGCAGATGAGAACCTCCAAAAGAAAGCAAAAAATATTAAAAACTAGAACAAATTTAAATGGATCATAAAGAAGACCAAATGATAGGGTAATCAATTTTAACCTGATTGCATCTGCCACAGTCCACTGTCCAATGTGTTTTACGTGTTAACAAGGCTCTTCACATCCCTGGTCCAGGATCAGATAGGATTCAGGCTCCACAAACTTTTTGAAATCTCTTGTGTAACACACACACACACACACACACACACACACACCACCCACTACAGCATGTTTAGGCTCCAAAGGCTACATCATTATACAAAAATAGGCATTATTTGATAATGAAGACTGTCCATCTGAGATCACAAAACGGAGGTTGAGTACATCATTACATAACTGCTAAACTGCCTTATTACATTGCTACCAATTTATATCACTGCTTAGCTGCCAAACAACAGAGAATCACAACTAAGTTGACACATAGCCTTAACCATCACCACCAGCATTACTCTTGCCTCATACTGCAGTTCATGATTGCCAGATGTACATTGTTAATGCACAAATTAGATACTTCACACAATAACGGATGAGCTAGTCAATAAATTGATGCACGTAGACACACACAAGATTAAGTCAAACAAGGATTGCGACTAGAGTTCCAGTCACTACATGGACACGTTACCCCAAACAAAACTTGTTTAAAGTATCTCTGCAAACTTTGAACAGCTGCAGACAGTTTTCCTCAGTAACACATTTGAGTTATTAGCCTCAGTTATCTGCCTTCAAAACCAGAATCTTTTTGTACCATAGGGGAAATAAAACACTTAGTAGATCAGGACTAATATCAGATTTTTAACAAAACTCAAGTAGATGTATTCATAAATCATTGAAGTTTTGCGTTAAGTTTATAGGAAGTCAGCCTCTTATAAAATGAATTACGATATGGATCAAGCATTTTAAGAAAGTTGGAAAGACCCTAGAGATGAGCTAAGTGTAGGAAGGAGACTTATCAACCTTCATAGATGAAGAAACTGCCTGAAATCCAGACCTACGTAGAATGGACATTGGATGTACTAGCCATTGACGTGGGGATCTTGCATGCTTTGGCTTTCAGTTTTAAGTAGATATCTTGACCTCTGCAGCGCTCGACCTTGTTGCGCGCCACAAGCATTGCATGAAGATCAGGTAGCTCAGAGAGATGGTCTTTCCACCGGTCTTTTAAGCTAGATCGAAGCTCGTGAAGATTGTTTCATGAAGTGACTTCTAATTGGGAATGAGTCTTGGATTTAACACTGTGACCCAGAGTGCACAGCCCCATCAAAACAGTGGCTTCTGAAGGGACCTCCCCGCCAATTAAGTTCAAGGCAGAGGGATCAGCTTAGAAGGTCATGGTGACTTTGTTGGCTTTCTGAAGGGAGAATCTTGATAGATTTTCTTGAAGGATACAGGATGATCATGGGAAGTAGGAAGTGTATTATGAAGGAGTTTTAAGAAAACTACAAACTGCGTAGGAGAGATAAAGCCCCAGAAAATTGTACTAAGATTGCTTCCCCATCATAACGGTGCACCTGCTTATTCTTAGAGAGTCGTAAGGGCTGTCCTAAGAGAATTTCATGGGAAACCTTGTTGTATCCACCCTTAAACCCTGATCTTGTCCCTCAGGCTTTTGTTCTCAAAACATTTAAAAAGAAACGCGGTTTGAATCCTCAGGTACACCAAAACTACTGTTATAACGTGTGGTAAATTGAAGCGCACAGATTCTTTGTGAGCTCCCGGAAGCACTGCCCTCCCAGGTATACCAACTGAAATGTCCGGAGACAGTGCTTTCAGATTTCTTAAGAACTTTAAGGTAACTTCATAACAATAGCTAACATTCATTTAGATGGTTTTGTTTAAACTTCTTGATTTTTGGTAGCTTTTTTTAAACTTACCCTTTTATGTGTGTGTGTTTGTGTATATACACACACCAGGGGTTTGTGGAAAAGTTTTATAATCCCTTCATTTTATTTTTCCATGAGCTTTTGGAAGCCCCTAATATAAGTGCCTGCATTTTTTTATTTGTACACACACACACACACACACACACACACACGAAGGGGCTTCTCTACTGGATTAGAGTTCTGTTCTCTGTGCTGGTTTTCTTCTTGTCTTACTGGAACACATTTTCGAGTGGCTTTCTGAGGAAGAGCGCATGTTTCAAAGCATTGGCTGTTTAGAAATAGTTGTCTGTCCTTATTTGAAGGATTTCTTTCATTGATCCTTTATCTGGATTGCTAGTGAGAGGTCTGAAAGCATTTCAATGCCCTGTTTTTTTTAAAAGTATTGTTCATTTGTCTCTTTGGAAATACTTAGAACCTTTTCTTTGACCACTCAAAAACTGAACACCGAACTCTCTGCCAAGGAGCCGACTCTGCCCCTTAATGACACCCATAGGCCCAGAAATCACCCCTGTGGGTTTCCCAGATGGTACTTGTTTATGGAAACAGGAAGTCTCATCTTTCTCCCGAGACGCCGCTGGTGTTTTTGAACTGCTGACCTTGTGGTTAACAGCCCAGCAAGTAACCTACTAGACTACCGGGGCTCCCTCTCTTATGTCCACAGTTTTCTGAAATTTCGTTGATGATCTTTTGGTTTACTTTCAGCCCTTGTCTTCTGCCCTCGGGGCTCTGGACATATACAGTGTGGGAACCCAGGGCTTTCACTGTCCTTGTTGCGCCTCGCAGATGGTCGCCCGGCCCTCCTCACTGCTTTCTGTGGGACTTCCGGCCACTTCCATCCTGTCTTCCTATTGTTTTAAAGCCTCCTTTTGGTCTAAATTTCTGCAACATTGTCTCAGATTTACCTAACAATGCCCTATTGAGTGTTTTACTCATATGTCCTTAATTTCTTTTGTTTGTTTCTTCTTCCCTTGGTTTCCTTTTGCAATATCACCATCGATGGAGGCTTCACATCTGCTTTCAGTATTACCTTTAAAATCTCTCCTGTGGTGGCAAGGCCTTGACTGTGCGGTTCCATTCTCCATCTCAATCTTCACTGGCTCTCTAGAATTTTGAACTACCCTGCTCCCTCCCTGAATGTGTTTGGCACACTTTCTATTATACTACCTGGTCATTCATTCGTCAGTTCTTGACTAAGTTGTTTCATCCTCATTGAAGCCTTCCTGGTAACTATAGCCAGGCCAGATCTCATGACACGGTTTCAGAATTTCACATTTTGCCCTTGCTCTCACCAGACTTGCATACCATTACCCAGCAGTCTTGGATGTCTTAATCTCTAGGCCTGTCTTGAAGTCTGGCCCAGGTAGAAGAGCGAGCTACTCAGGAACTGTTTGTGCAGGGAAAGCACAGCCCCGGCCACAGGGCCTGTGCAGGATGAGGAAGCAGCAGGCCAGGTTGGAACCCCGAGGACACATGGTCGGGGAAAGGAAGCAGAACCCCAGGGACATCACAAGGAGAGTGGCTTCTGGAGTGACAGTTGGATTAACAGAAGTTATTAGTGGGGTAGGCTACATAGAAAGAGTGAGTGGAAGGTAAAGAAGGCAAGGTAATGAAATAAAGTGTAGATACTCAGCAGAAGCATGGTTGTGAAGGGCACAAAGCCCGTTGATGGTATTTTTGTTTAGTGGGCTTTTGTTTTGTAAATTAGGTGGGGATTGATATTTCAGATCATCAACCTTGTAATCTGATATTAAACTGCTCATCAAATCTTCCAATAGTTTTCCCCTCACTTGCCTCCCTCATTTCTCTTGTCCCTCGTTTCTATTTTTAGTTTTGTTTTTACTTTACGTGGGAGAAAAGGCATATTTATATGAAGAAGACAGTTCTTGGTAAGTGCCTTCCTGAGGGTTCCGACCCAGAGCAACTCTGCACAACCGAAGGAAACACTGGTCCCTTCTGTGGTCTCACTTGTTCCATTTGAGCCTGTTGTTGCAGCCATGAGATAACCCATGAGGGCCTTCCTCTTTTGTCACTGTCCCTCCACTTTACCAACACAATGTCCTTCTCCAGGGACTGGTTTCTCCTGACAACGTGTCCAAAGTATGTAAGACAAAGTTTCCCCATCGTGGCCTCTAACGAGCACTCTGGACAAACTTCTTCCAAGACAGATTTGTTTGTCGTTTAGCAGTCCACAGTCGTTTCAGTGTTCTTCTCCACCACGGTTCAAGTGCATAGATTCTTCTTCGGTCTTCCTTATTCAGTGTCCAACTTTCCCAAGCGTATGAGGCGGTTGAAATTACAGTGGCTTGAGTCAGGCGTACCCTAGCCCACAAAGTAACATCCCTGCTTTTCAATACTCTAAAGAAGTCTTGTGCAGCAGGTTTACCTAATGCAACATGGCATTTGATCCCGCGACCGCTGCTTCCATAAACACTGATTTTTGAATCCAAGCCAGACAAAATCCTTGACAACTTCAAACTTGTCTCCGTTTTTCACGAGGTTATGAAAATCCTCACAATTAGACAGAGGCAGCATCATGATTAATGAAAGAAAAAGAGATGATTAAAAGACGCTGGTATCTTAGCTCCACATAAGGATTAAGACCGGGTCCCGGCTCTCACTGTGAGTTGAAATTGAGTTGATGGCACACAGGAAGGTGAGAGACATGTCAGCCATGTTACAGGGTCCCCATTGAGCCTCTGTGATGGGGCAAACTGCCCTACTGTGCGGTGAAATACATTTTCCTTGGATATATGCAGGTGGGTGTGAGTTCTGACTGACAGGCTCCCGTTATTTGGCGGTGGTAAATAGTTGATGGATGGCCTTTCAGAGTGATCGGTAGATTCTCTGGATGCGGTCAGATCATTATGCTTTTCATCAACTGGCTATTGAATAACGGATTGAGGTGCTTCCAGGGTGTAATGTTGGAATCCGTTGAACACATCACAAAGGATAAAACTTCGCTCCGAGAAACAGGCACCCCAGGAAACGAGAATGATTTTTCTTCAACGTATAAATGATAGAGTGTACTTTCTAAGCTGTTTTGGATTCGTGAGGGAACAAAGATTCTAGCTTGCAGAATGTCCCGACATGGAGTCTGGCAGGGGTGTAGACTCGCTGCATTACTGACTGCATTCCCGCTGCATTACTGGCTGGCTGCATTAGTGGAAGTTAACCTCTCTGAAGCGGAGCTTCCTGACTGCTGAAGCATTAGGGTTGTTGGAATCTCTACTCACTCAGTAATGTTGATGGTGTCCCAAAGTGAGTTTGCTTTTTCCCTCTTGTCTGTTTTTACTGCTCCTTGGGATTGGATAGTGGCTTAAAATGCTACAATTTTAATGAATGCAAACTGTTGAACTAATAACGAAATTCAGCGGTATATGTAGAATTTAATAAAATTACCATTTTTATTTTAACCATTCGGTGTGACTATAACATAGCCAACCTTTTAAAACGTGTGCTGCTCGGAATGCCCGGGTCACGGTGAGTCAGAATGGGCTCGATGGCGTCTCACAGGCACAGTCGTAGTGTTCTGTGAGGGCAGGCTTAATTAGAAGCGCAGCCCAGGTCTGTAGGGCCCATCCTGGTAAATGAGTTGGGAAGTGATCACCAAGCATCTCATTCAACATTGTTACGGAGTGATATCATAGTGATGAATTGAATTTAAATATTTAACTTTTATGTTTTCTTAGAAATTTTATGATGACTGATAAATGAGTTTGCAGGTTTTATCCTGAGGTGTGATGTAGGTTTTCTCCCTCTCATCCTTATCAGATGGATAGTGGCTACAATACACAGACGTACGGAAGCAATATCATGGATACGGTTGGGGCGGAAAGTTACTGCAAAGAAAGTGATGAGCAGATCGATGGCCTTAAGAATAAATCCGCAGTTCTTAATACAAAGGTATGAAGAAACTAAAGCCAAAGCTTTATAGGGCTGTAGGCTGAGTATTTATGAAATGTCCCCCGCATTGTTAGAAATGTTTATTGATGCTTGTGGCTCATCCTGTTACAGTTCATTTAACAGCACGAAGTTACTTTAAATCAAAACATGTTCTTAGTTCTTTCGTATGAGGGTGCAAGTAAAAGTAGTTATGCGAGAGGAGAGAGCCCTACTTGAAATAAGTTCCTTAAAATTAAATTGTTTTTTTAAGCTTTAGAAGTACTAAATAGGAGTGTCAGAGACTTCTGAGTATTGTCTTTTGGTAAATATTTTATATTTGATGCCTTTCATACATGTAAATATACATAGGTATTATAAGAGGTTTTAAAAATAACTTTGATTATGAGGAAAATAATATCATGAGAAAATAATCTGTACATCAGATTCAAAGCACTAAAAGGCAAGGTCTGTCTTCTTAAAAGCCAGTGATAGTCTTTGCAGATCCCGACGCCCTGAGGTGGTAATCTTTTTTTTTGGTAATAAATATTTTAACATGCAACAAAGAAGACCCTTGGTGGTCTCTTGAACCTAACCAGGAACTCCTTGGAGGAGAGCCCGGCAGTGGTTCACGGCCATTGCTAATAAACACTATGTACACTAGCAAATGTGCAATTGGATGTCTCCAAATAATAAGATGAAATGGAAGGACGCCCCTATCTTCCCTTTCCCCCGTTGTATCTTTCTGATAGTGTTAAAGACCAGTCTCTTCCTAACCCTGGTAGTTTCGGGATAACGCAGGACTTTAGTTACAGTCCGTTTAGACACTTCGTAGGCAGTCGGATATAGGTAAGGATCCCACCCCAACGTTCCAGCAAATTTTATGGACACTGAAATTTACATTTTATACAATTTTCATATCATGAAATAGCCTTCTTAGTTGTGGGCAGGAGGCAGGCCAGATTTGACCACCGGTTTATCAATTCCTGGTGTACATACATCATGGGGCACAGTCACTAGTGAGTAATCCAACCATGAAACCTGCTTTTTAGGAAAGGAATTTTTTGTTAAATCTAATACTGATTTGTTAACAAAAAAAAATTTTACCACAGGGGGAAAAATGAACTGATGCCAGGGGCTTTAGTGGAGAGCAGATGTTTTGAGAATGATGAGGGCAATGAATGTACAATGTGCTTTACACAATTGATGTGTGTGTGGATTGTGATGAGTTGTATGAGTCCCCTAATAAAATGATTTTAAAGATATTTCATCTCTTCAGATTTTCAGAGTTGAGCCAGGAAAAGCTCTGTTCATGTTTTTGTTTTGTGTACTAGTTGCATCTTTGAATGATTCTATTTTAACTGAAACCTTTCCTTCTATTCTTCCATAGGAAGACCACACAACACAGAGGTGCTGAAAGCCAACAAATCCGTCTGCATGCAGCAGCCCATAGACTACCTCGCTCAGAACCAAAGACTAGTCCAGTAGCTCCAAGCTTTGAATGCATGGCATTGACAATGAAATTGTGATGGAGAGAAAAGGGCTTCAACCAACCAACATGCTTTCCCTCCGTAATGTGAAAAGACATAGGACCACAGAGAAGCTCCTGGAACTTCGACCACTTGCTGAAGTTTATTTTTAAATCTATTTTTGTAATTATGTTAATAAAAGAATAAACTGTGGCAGCTGCTGACTTTGCTCCTGTTCTAAAGGATCAATGAACTGAAGCCCGATTGACAGCACTGAATTAGTAGTAGTTCTGACAATGTGTTGAAATAACATTAAAATTTGAGGCATTGTTATTATAACTGCCTTGGTTTATATGATCAAACATGCTAACATACAGATGAATTTAAATAATGTTTTGTGAAAGTCTAATTTAGAGATAAAACTGAATTTAATCAAAGCAGAAAGGAAGTTAAACATGTCTTACAAGGTTACTGTTAATTCTTGGCTTGCTCACACCTGTGGGGTAATTTTTAGTTCCGGTTAAGATAGCTCTATCTTTTAAAGTAGAATATGAGTGCAGTACTAACAGTATCGTAAGATCATGCCTTATATAAGAGGGGTAAAGCGGGATGCTTGGAATAGATAAATACCCGTTAGGTGGGCAAATCCTTTCCAGTTCAAACTGCTGGTCATGATTAACTTGATAGGTGCTCGCAAGTCAGTTCTGATTTACCGCAACCTTGGGTTCAACAGCCTGCCCTGCACCAACCCAATTGCTAGGTTTGAGTCCACTGCGGCCACTGTGTCAATCCATCTCGTCTACATTTTTTTTTTAAAGGTAATACTGTGACCCCAATTATACCTCTGCAGCCACAAAAGATAAACAGGTATTATATGTCTTTTATTTTTTATTAAAAAACATTTTCTTGGGGGCTCATAAAGCTCTTATAACAATCCATACATCAATTGTATCATATTTGTACGTCATTAATTCCCTCAATATTTACTATTTGAGCCCTAGTGTCAGCTCTTTTTTTCCCCTCCCTCTCTTCCCCCCTCATGACCCCTTGGACACATTTTTGTATCTCATTGACTGCTGTCTACCTTCCCCCGTGGTTTCTGTTCATCCCCCAGGGGGGTTGGGTGGGTATGGTATCAATCATTGCCATCAGTTTCCCCTTCCTCCCCCTCCCATGTTCCCAGTACCCTCCTGCCATCGCTACTTCCATTTCTGTACCTTCTTTTTGATGCCCCACTGCTTAAGCGAGCATGATGGCCTCTAAGGCCTAGTGTCTCCTGATAACACATCCAAAGCGCATGAGGCAGGACGCAGTCTGTCTGCATTTCTAAGACTTGTTTGTTCAGGCAGTCCATGGTACTTCAATATTCTTCCCCAGCACTGTAACTCCAATACATCCATTCTCCTTTGATCTTCTGTATTCCATGCCTAACGTTCACATGCTTATGAAGTGATTGAAAATACCATCCAGGGCGTGGATCAGGCAGTCCTGAGAGTGATCGGGCTCTGTAACACGTGTAAAGAGGCCTGTGCAGATGTGCCCAGTGTAATACATTTGATTTCTTGACTGCTCCTTCCGTGAGGGTTGATTTTGGGCCTTAACAAAATGAAAGCCCTGACATGCCTCCGCTTATAGCTTGAGTCAGTCCACTTGTCTCAATACTCTGGTGCTGTTCATGAGGTTTTCTGTGTACTTGACTGTTCTATTGCTATTCCTAACTGTTCAGGGATGAATCCCTCCAAAGTGCACACCCTGTTCCTTCTCTGTTGTCTGCAAGCTCTGCTAGTCATTTTGGAGGACTCTGGCTTTCTGAAATACCACTGACCCAGCTTCCAACATCACACTGCAAACCACTGCAGTGTGAAAAAGTGCACCAGGGGTTGGGATAGCAGCTGAATTCCTTGCAGGGCACCAACCTATAAAGTAGCAGAACTATATTTTTAAAACTTAGCTTCATGTTGGGTACAGGGTGGGTATACCCTAACATTTAAAGAAGTAGCATTACTTTGGAGAATGCATTCACTAATTTGTGTTGTAGGGTCACTATGAGTGGGAATGGACTTGACAGTGAGTTATTTTGTTGTTTTTTGTCTCATTTGAAAATAAATCATATGACACTGTAGGAAATAAAGCCATTTTCATTGTGTTATTTTTCTTTTTGTATTCTTGTAAGTGTAAGACTAACCTGCAAAACTTGTATGTACATCCTGCTCAGCCTCTTCCCCCACCAACTACCATTAAAGTCAATACCATTATTGGGTCCACTGGCAAAACAGTCTGTCTAAACTGAAAACAATTGTTGGACTTGAGAGTTCTGGATCCTTAAAAAGTTAAGAGCCATCATCCCTGCAATTCTTAATGTCAAATGACAAGAAATGGTGACTACATTGTTTACTATCATCGGTCTCTGTTTACAGCAACCCAGAAAGGACAGCCAGGAACTGGAAGAAATGATGTGGCTAGGGCACTCCATGAATAACTGCCTCCTTTGCCAGAGACCAGGACTGGATGGTGCCCTGCGACCATCAATGTACATTTGGTCACGATTTCAAATTCTAAAAACTCACCGAGACTTAGAAGTTGTTCCTTGCTTTTAAGAATGTTTCCTTTCCTTCTTAACTGCATGAGTCACACACAAATGAGTTCCTACTAAGTAATCAAATTACTTACACAAAATTAATCTTTTCAATGAGCAAATGCGTGCTCCATTTAAATGAACTTTGTTAGATCCCTGAAGTTGCTACCCTGTCACTATTTAAATGATGGATGTTCATTTGAATTTTTCCCATTACAAGTTCTATTCACCCCAGAAATAAAGTCTCATGACAGCAAATAGTTACGTACAAATGCAATTTTGTAAAAAATTATTAAAATGTGCTTAAAAGTAACAAATTGTATCACACTTCTCAGGCTGATAAGTGTTTGATCAGGCCTTTTAGTGGTAAAAAAGTAATGTAAGTCCTGCTCTTGGAGACAGCTATTTTCCATATTTCTTCTTTTTTCTCTCCGGTTCACTCATGTCCATGTCTGAAATATCAGTGCTTATTCCTGGAATCTGAAAATAAGCAATTGGAAAGAAATATGTGATTAAAAGCATCAGTATTATCTTCATTTTCCCTTCTCCACTGCCACTTTCAAATTTAAAAGGATGTAGAGTTAGGGAGGAAAAAAGAGGAATAAAGGTTTTGACACACCAAGCAACACTGAAAGTTAGCTTCGTCTCAGGATGTGAGAAGCACATCATTTGGGGAGTTTGTAGCTGTGACATTTAATCCCACCTCCAATTTATTCTAGTGACACAGAATGAACGAGGGTCATAGGTGTGTTGGAACGGAACAGATTCAGAACCAATGGTGAGACGCCTGCACTGTGTCTTAATCTTCAAAAGTGCGGATTTCAAAACTTAACGTGGCTATGTGGGAGGTCTGAAAGACCTCTCGTCTGGACAGGAAGGACATCAGAAGAAGCCCCAGCGCCTGGGATTCCAGGTTTCTTAAGATCAGTGAGAAAGAAAATAAGATCTACTCTGAAAACACCGGGCCTCCAGACCCCGTGTGGGATTCCATCTACTAGTAGCCACACGCACTTTATGGCCACATGGCTCTGCTTCACGAAACATGCACTGCTGTTTGTATAGACACGCACTTTATGGCCACATGGCTCTGCTTCACGAAACATGCACGGCTGTTTGTTCTATCAGGACCCCTGGTGGCGTAGTGGGTTACATAAGGGCTGCGATCTACAAGGTCTACAGTTCAAAACTCCCCCGCTCCTTGGGAGAAAAGGTGGGGTTTTTGACTTCCCCAAAGAGTTCCAGTCTTTGAAACTCACAAGGGGCAGGTCTACCCAATCCTATAGGGTCGCTATAGGATTGTGTTGGTCATCAGCTCGATGGCAGTGAGGGTGGGGGCGAGTTTGTCTCTTCATAACATGGACATTGTTGTGAGAACAACTTACCTGTGGCTCCACCAATGACATGCGGATTTTCTGATGCTGAAGATTAGATGAGTCTAACATGATTTTCACTTTAACTTTATCAAATATGTGGAACACTGTATCTTCTATTTTAAGGGAAGGAATCTAAAAAAAACACATTTTCATTCTTAATAGCTTTCATACATGTGAGGCTTTGCTCTAAACCTGTTTTATCTCACATGAATAAATATTAATATTGATAAACATCTTGATGCTCTTTTCAGTGTATTAAAATGGTAATCTACTAGGCTTACTTAGGTAAACATGGAAAAGTCCTGAAGAAGGACATCATGTTTGGTCAAAGAGGGCCGGCAAAAACAGAGGAAGCCCCTCAGTGAGGTGGACTGGAAGAAACAGCGGCTGCCGTGATGGGCCCAAACATAGGAGGCGTGCGGGGGGCGCAGGGCCCGGCAGTGGGGCATCCCACTGCACACAGAGAGGGTCCCTGGGAGCTGGATCTGACGTGATGGCACCAAAGTGCCATGTGTATAATTTCCGTTTTGCTATTAAAAAGATTCCGATTTGTAGTCCGTACACTGGGAATGTCCTCTTCAGGAACGTAGAGCAAAGTGAAGTGTGGGTCTGTGAGACACGCACTGAAGGACCGGAGGCTGAAATGAATTACGACAAGTCCTCACAGAGGCTGTCGTTCTAAGGGATCTGCCAGGGATCAGATACTGGAAATGAGTCACAAAACAGCCATTTCTTCCTTCCTTTCTTTCCAATAATCTGTTCACCTAGGGAAACACTTAGTCCTAGTTGACCTTAGAGGAGAAAACGACATGGTATAAATCAAGAACAGTAGGTACTGGGGTGGGGGTGGGGTGGCTTTAAACAGTTCATGGACAAATACAAGAAGAGAGCATGGGCTCGGTCCACGACCTTTCTGAAGCGCCCTCATCGGTACGTAGCAAGTTCACCGCAGTGAGAACGAGTAAAAACACTGGCTCAGCAGGCTTCCGACAGTCTTGATTTTCTGGCATGTGTTGAGAGACTGACTATACACTGCTACAGCACAGATAGTTTTAACTCTTTAGAGGTTCCACTCATGACTGGCAAAAGAAAAAGCTGCCCCTCCACCGCCACCCACCCAAGTAGACGGGTTAGCATACCACACCTCATCATCGTAGGTAAGCCGTGGCTTGGATTTGTCCTTCTCGTCAAAAAAGACTGTGCCTTCTAAGCCGTACTTCGGAATTAATACCACGATGGCATTCTTTCTTACAAATAAAATGTAAGCGTCCTCACTTACTATTCCTTTGCTTTTGAAAAATAACTGCAAAACAAAGTAAAACATGATTCCAAAGTCAAAGTATTTTGAAAGACAATTCTAAAAAGGAACCAAAGTTCACCTCCCTTGCATTTCGGATAAAAGGCCCATACCTGGGTATGAAAGGCTACTGACGCACGCTGGGCATACTGGGCCATTTTGTGGCGGAAATTGAGATTTTTACATATATCTGCCAGCTTGTGTTTGTCTGTCAGTTCTGGGTAAGTAGAGTCTGCTCCGATAGCCACAGCCAACAGCCGATGAACAATGATGTCTGCATATCTAAATACAAGAGAACCTTGATGTTAGCCTAGCAATACAATTTTTAAATTCAAAATTCACGATCTTTATCTCCTTAGTGTCACAAGGAAAACGAACCTTCTGATGGGTGAAGTAAAATGTGTGTATATCGGGGATGCTAAGCCGTAGTGATGAAAATCGTTATCCATTCCAGAGCAGAAGTAGACAGCTTGCATCATGCAGCGTGTGGCTAATATTCTTAACAGCGTGTTGAGATATGGGAAAGCTGGGCATTCCGCCTTGTCCAAAGAGTCCGCCAAAGACTTTGCCGTGTCTGTCCTAATTTCCAAATTCTGCAGGTAAAAAGGATGGAAAAGGCGTATTAGGTGTTTTCCAATTGAGCACATCGTATCTTCAAAATATAGCCAATCAGACTGAAAAAACATAGTCTTTCTGACCACATCACCAGTGCAGTTTTGGTGCTTTAACTGAAGGGAGTCAGGATGTTCTCTGATGTCTCCGTGGGAGAAAGGGATCGTGTTGGCAGGCGCGCTGCCTCCCACTCTAGCTTGTGTTGTCCCGTCTTTGGTGGGGTTAAAAAAAAACCCAAAGCAGGTGCAGATACTGGTATTTTTCTGCACGTTTTCCTTCTCTTTAAAGTAGAAGTAAAACCCAGGAACAAAACAAAATTGTCTAGGTCATTATGAATCAGTCAGAAAAATGTCCCTCATTCATTTGGTCCTACATCAAATAAGACTAAGTCAAAAATTCTTGATTACTTTACATGCCCAAGTCTTGGGAAGAAGGGAGGCAGAGAGAGAAAATCACTCAATTTCCACTATCAGCTGAGGAAAGGAGTAAGACGCTGACTTTGCTTTGGCAGGGGAAGCAAGAATAGTCCCACCATGAAGGTCTGAACCCTTTTCACAGATCAACACTGCCCCATTAGAATACAGTTCTGAAAGTGAATACCGCCCCTTCCGGATCTCGTCGGGGCTGGAAAACAGGCCTGAACCAATGATTCGGAGAAAAGCAAGATAGGCGACTGTGCCTAGTAAAAGTCAGTGAACTCATTCTCAGCCAAACACTAAGCATCTCTGAGGGGAACAGGAACATGGCTCAAGTTTCAGCCAAACAAGAGAGACATCTACAATAGTATTGTATATGATAACACCAATGACCTTAGAATAATCAACACTTTGCAATCAAGAGGGCAGCATTTTGGACAAAGTTTCAAAGGGTTCGGAGAGAAAGGAGTTGAGGGGGAAACCCAGGAAGGAGGTGGAGTGAGTGGTGCTGTGTTAATGGGGGCAGCAGTAAATGAGATGAAGTAAAACATCTATGAGCTGTTGGGTATAAACCGGATTTATCTGCTCTGTAAACCTTCCTTCAATTGACACAATAAAAAAGCTAAAAAATGTCGATGAGTTAGCTACAGCGAAGGCTGCAAGGAGTTGGGAAAATGGAGCACTTTCTATGGTTTTCCTTCTCCTCTGCATCTAGCACATACATTTCTTTCTGGAGGACATGATATAAAGAAGGCTTGAGCTGGAGCTTAGGAGAAACAGAACAGACAGCTTGTAAATCTTTGAAGTCAGTCCATTGACAGAAGCCATGAAGCAATAGGCATAAAGGCCACAGGTAAAGGTAAAGAACGTTGGAAGAGCTTGTTATTTCCAGGATACTGCAAATCATTCTGTCTGGGACATCTGGCTCTAGCAGAAAGTGTTCTTAGGTGAGGTACGAATAGCATTAAAACATTTTATTGAATGGAGTGATTTTAATGAGGGCAGAAATGACCTTAATCAAAGTAATAAAGTCTTTTGACTTGTGAACATAAACTATTTCAACGCAATGAGTAGATCATAACAAAAATCGAGATGCTTTTTTAAACAAGGAACTCACCTTGGACTTTGCTGCCTTCACAAGAATTTCATAATTTGACGGAGGGGGAGCAGGGTGTTTTCGAAGCAAAGCATGTTCAGAAAATTCTTCATGAATTTTTTTTGCCACAGAAATATTGGCAAGCAACATGAATTCTTCCACCATTGAGTTTGTTTCTCTACCAAGGGAAAACATACGCAATAAGGAAAGAGAATTTCAGACTGCTAGATTTTTTTTCTATTCAAGGACCTTCTTACAAACAAGCTAATGCAAGCATCTCCCATACAACCATGTTTGTATGCAGAAGTGTGTGTTTTTAATGATTGAGGCCCCTTTCTTTTCTCTGCTACAATGCTATCTATTACTAATATGTCATTGCATCTCAGGCTGGAAGAGGCTTTTTCCAATTGGTATGCAAAAACAGAAACTTTACTAATGCTCTACAACATAAACAATTTCACTTTAAAAAAAAATGGAACAAATACAAAGACAAACTTGTTTTACTTTAAATCAAGAAATAAAATTACTAAAGAGAATTAAAAGTCATGTAAAGTCATATCAATTTTGGCTTAATATATAAATTTAAAGTGTGATTTGGGTGACAGTTTACAAGAAAAATTAGCATATATACTCAAGTTTAAGCCAACCCAAATATCAGCCAAGGCACCTAATTTTTACACAAAAACTGCATTAAAATGTGCTGAAAACTCAGCTTATCTACAAGTATATGCGGTAGTTTTCCATTTAAAATTTCATGCACATTTTTTTGACATTAGATTCACTTTTCACCCTTGGTTGTCTAGTAGAAACGTGAAAATGCATGCTTGGATTAAGAATTACCTTGTATGAAAAGAATCAGGCGTAAAACTGATTTCACCCAAAGTATTCTTGCTTCCTGAATGTTATGACCAATAAAATAACAGCAATAGACAAAATCTAAAGGTTCATCACATCCAGTTACACAGGTACGGTCACCTATCACATCTCGCAGGAAAGCTGAGGCGCACTCATACACAGGATCAACTCTAACTCAGACGACCCTCTAAGGCAGAACAGAACTGCCCCACGGGGCTTCCAGAGCCATAATCTTTCAGGAGCCTGACTGCTACCTCTCTCTCCTGAGGAGCAGACCTGTAGTCAAACCACTGACCTTTCAATGAGCAGTTAATATGCTTAACCACTATCTAGCCGGGATCCTTAAATTGAGGCACAGCGAAGCCACGTAACTTGTCCAGATCCCAAGCTTTGCCCAGTCTGCCTTCAAAGCAGAGGGTCTTGATCATTTTCCTATCCTACCACAGTACAGCCTAGACTAAATACTTTAGCAATTAAATCAGAGCCAGCTTCTTTTGCTTACCATAATGTTACTAGTCAAGTTCTAATATATCATCCATTAAGACAAACCAACACAAATTGGTAATTTTCTACTATAATTCTGATGTTAAGTTTTATATACTGGGGGTGTCAAAAGGTTCACGGATAAACTTCTTTATCTTTTAATTTCATTTTTTTCTAACAAACTTTTTAAGTCTCTCTTGGGGGGTAAGAGAACCCTTGAAAACGAGTGCATGTTTCCAAGTCTGTATATTTTGTGAGCCAGACTATCTATGGAAAGCATATTTTATGAAAAACAGGCATTTGGGAAACAAGTAGGCTTTATCTGTTAGTATATAACCACACATTACATTTATAATCCCAATCTCATCTGCTGCACATCACAGTAATGGCATACCTAAGTTCCTTTGTCTGCAGATCTATAGGATCATGAGTTTCACTGTCCATGTGGAATCGGACTTCCGGGGAAGAAAGAGTTAACGCCCTAAATAAAACATAAGAAGGGTAAATTAGCGAAGCTAGCCAATATAAAAAGAACTGTGGAAATGATGTTGTTTTAAATAGAAAATGACCCAGAAGGATGAAGTACCAGTTGTTCTTGTGAAGGCGGTATGACCCGCTGCTGCGTTTGACATTCTACTTTTACGAACAGCTAACATTTCACAGACCTCAAATGCCTTCATGGGGCCACAAAATAATACAACAAACAGCTTAGCCCCGCAAAACTGTACTACTTCTCAGTCGAAGTAGCTTCTGTACCCAAGCTGATGTTTTTATTGAGCTACAAGAGTTTGTAATCACTATTAACACTAAAAGTGGAGGTCAGACTTTTTTATATACCAATGAAAATAATGTGCAGGGTTGAGGGCAGAGGGAAAGTGGTCCCTGTGGAGCAGTAACACCAGGAGATTCACCCAAAAGCATCTTCCCTGCAGATTCCACCGACAGAAAGCTGGCTTCTACACCACTGTCACTGTCATGAATACTGAGAGCTGTAGATATTGAAGGCTGTGCATTAGATAAAGCACTATGCTAATAAGTGCTTTCTATCTGTGGTTCACTTAATGAGTTGGCAAGTTCTCTTGGGAAAAGCAAATTCCCCTACAGCAAGACTAATAAGCCTCTTCCGCTGGTACTGTTTTCAACTTTTCAGGTCAGCACCACATCAACCTAAGAATTTTAGTGAGGCTGGACACATTACAGAGACAGACAAACAGTAGAGGCAAAGACGGACCTGAGATGGGGAAAACTAAATGAATGTTTCAGTTTCCTTGTTCCTGAACCCTTCACCTCTACTAAAAGGGCTGCAGACGGAATTCTAGAGAATTCTAGACTTCTCAATCTCACCAACAAACCCTTCTTCTAGTCTTACTGTACTTTAACACAACTTTCCATATCAGATCTCATGTTCAGTCATATATGTTGACCTAAAGAACAACGAATCTGTATTTTGGTCTTTTTCGTCAGAGGATATTTAAAACATTCTGTTCACCCACAAGTAGTACAGTGAAGCCTGGGAGAGCTGGGAATCGGCAGGATTGCCTTGTCAGGCTCCAACATTATTTTTATACAAACATTCTTCTGATGTCCAGTATAGATGGTAAACCTTCAATAAACAATAAATTGAATAATGTACCAACTCATGTGTCACAAATATGTCTCTTCATACAATCTAAAGAGTACCTTTGATCATACTTGAACCACACAAAAGCAAAGTTTAAAAAAGTCTGAGTCAGCAACAGAGCCTGGATTTTGAATATTTAAAAAAAAATCCAATGATGCTCATCAGACTGCTGTGGAAATGGCAACTTTGGGTAACAGTTTTGCTCTTGATTTGATAACTCTGACTGTATCTAAATAATCCTTATGTAATTCAAACCTGCAGAGTTAGGCTCCTGTGAATAATGCCCAGGAGAATCAGGAGTGGAGATGGGACAGGACGCTAGATCAGTGTTTCCTAAGGTGGGTGACACTGTCCGCGGGGGGTCACTGGAATGATCGAGGGGGAGCTGACAAAGCACCCACGTAATGCTTTATCCTGGATAATGGGCTAGAGCACAAAATCTTTTAATTGCCAGAGGCGCACTGAATAATTCCCCCCCGCCCCCCAGAAAAGAATAGTAAGCTAAATAAATTTGTAAACCCCTTATCCAGAATTAACACCATCCAATGGAACCCTAAGAAGTGGGGGAAAGGTTTTATATCAATACTGCCAGTATGGTAGCCACTCTCCACATGGGGTCATTGGCCATCAGACACGTGACTACTGCAACCAAGGAAGCGAGTTGTTTGGGTTTCTTTAATCTAAACAGTCACACATTCTGAATGAAAACCACTGTAGTCACTAACTGCTTAAGCCACCAGGAGAGCGATTAACACTGGAAAGATTGATTGCCTCTGATAAATTTGTTTGGTTACTTCAAAAAGTTTGAGTTGGTACTATTTTTAGGTTTTTGTAATTAGGTAGGCAAATACCATGATAAAAACTAGCTAAAAGATCCAACGCTGCCAATGGCTACCAGATCTTTGGGAAGGTAAATGAAACACCCTTTGTTTACGAAAGAAAGTGGGTAGAGGAAAGATGTGCATCATCTACACGGCTTTGAACAACTGAAAGCCAGCGTACTAAGTTCACTGAGACCAGAAACAGTCCACAGACAAGTCTTAGGGACGTCTGACTTGCTGTGTTTCTTCAAGACACTTCATGCAAACACATCTGTTTTCAGGACAACAAAGAACAAGGACAGAATTCCCAAACAAAAATCAGCTCAAAATTAAGATGCTCATATTTAAATGGCAGCTAGAAGAAATTGGATATCTCCATTTAAAAAAAATCTTTTTCAGTCAGTTAAATAATTCCTAACTGTCCATGATAAAGCTTCTAGATTATCTAAACACTTTTAAAATGATCTTCATACAATGATGAATGAACTGAATGATACATGAATTACAAATGATAAATGAATTAAGTCATCCAAATGGTTATTTTAATATGTACCCTTTTTCGATTCTCTGCTTTTTCAAAATTTTCGCTAGTCTATTGAGCCCACGGAGACTGGTGGTAATGTCGTCATTCATGGTTGCAGAATCGATCCTCATCTGAGCTTCAGCATACGTAAGAGAAGCCTCAAAGAGAAACCATAGGATAATAAAACCCTGATTAATGACAAAACTGGCTTACTGTGCTCTTATCCTTTCACAACATAGAATTCGTAATTACAGAAAACCTAAAGTTAGTAACAAAAGAAGAATTCGGAGCTTTGTAATTTATACGTCACACCTATCATTTCTGGTCCATTAACTCTTCTAGGAAGCATTTGCCACACCAGCAAACTTAGGTTAAAACAAAGTAAAATGACAGCTAGTGAACAAATTGTTTAAGCTTTATTTACCTTCATGCTCCAGTTAATGTATAAATATTTAGGTCAGGCTAAAATACAACAAGAAGGCAAGTTAGAGCCATTCTTTCATAACAATTGTAAATGGAAATCCATTGTACCTTAATCAGTACAAAAGCTATTGTATTCCTAAAAATAAGTACGTACAAAATTATACACTTTATAATTGAAGGAATTTAAAGCAATGTTCAGTGAAAAATAATCCAAACCCACAAACGGCTGCTTCTGTTTCTGGCACATGGAAAAATAACTTTTAAAAATAGCTTCAGAATTAAAAAACAAACAAAAAAATCAGGAACAGCCAAAGAAAGTTAGAAAATGCTTAGGTCCTATTAGATTCCTGCGAGGACCAGTAACTGGGCTTTCCTTCTTTAAAAAAACGAGCCCTGGTGGCACAGTGGGTATTTGAGCTGCTAACTGCAAGGACAGCAGTACAAACCCACCAGCTGCTCTGGGGAGGAAGCAGCTGTCTACTCCCATAAAGCCTGATAGTCTCAGAAACTCAAAGGGGAAGGCCTACCCTGTTCTATAACGTCATTTGGGGCTAGATTCGGCTCGATGGAAATTAGGATTTTTTTTCCTTTTCTCAAAAAGGTTTTATGTTATGTTCACACAATTGGGTTTTTTTTAAATATAGTTTTGTTTGATCAAGTCTGAAGAGATAGTAAGCTCATTCTCAATTTTAAGCACATCTTGAAAGGCTTAAGCCATTCACATATCATTATCGAAGTCCAAACCATTAGTTGATCAGAATAGAAGAATATTAACAAAAAAGAAAAAGTATTTAAGAATAAGGATCACTTGAAGAAAGGGGGTTTGGCAAAGTCAGAAGAAGATTTAAGGCCCAAAAAAGAGCAAGGGAGTCTAGGGGAGAAATACTAAAAAGGAAGAGAAAACCCGACAGGCTCCATTCTGTCTGAACTTAGACCTTGGACTAATTTTACCGGAACCCAGCTATGATTTACGTAAGATTGTTCAGATTGTATAAGACAAAGAAAATGGTGTATACCCTGACTTTTAAAACACTAACCATTTAAAAGCTGATACAGGTTCAAATTTGGGACCAGAGTATTAGGTCCTTACAAGTACATAAGTCTTCTGTTTCTGACTAGAAGATTGACAACTGACCCTGGAAGTGACTTTTGAATAATACCAAGAATCAATCAGACACGTGATAAAAGCAGACTTTGCAGCCAACAATGGTATAAACAAAATCACTTCACTTAATGAGCCCAGCTTTTTCAAAACAATTGAGAACACATTTTGATGTACCTAAGGCTCTAACAAACAAAAATTAATCATTGAACAAACCTTTGAATTAATGACACTTTTGGTAAACCTTGTTTTTAAGATTTCAGCCTTATGATTCATTTCCCAAATACATGAAAATGCTAGTCTGTGGGAGGAAAATAGAAAATAGTTACTTGTTAATGGAAATCAGTTAAAGAAACACATATAATGTTCTTATGAAAGAATTTGCATAGATACCTGTCCACATTACATCTTAAGGAACACAAGTTAGAGCTCAGCAGTTCAGGAACCATGTCAATCCGCTGTAACAGATAAAAATATAGCTCAGAATGCATAGTTATAGGTATATTTGCATTAGAAGTTTTCAAACAGTATTTAGTTATAGAGAGTATTATGATTTTTATAAACAAGAAAACTGAATAAATGCAACAGCCTGTTTCCAAAAACAAAAAACACACACACACACAAAAAAAACTATCATAGAAGGTAAGAAAACTGGACTTAGCAGTGAGTGCGTTTTACTTTTATGTCTACACTTACAGCCTTGCTGTCCTGTGAAAATCTAAAATTTCTGGTCTGTGTAATAATTTGTGCTAGATAATAGCCACAAGTCCTCCTTATTTCTACCATTGGATTTTTTCCCAATGCTTACTACATGATGTTTCAAAAATAATCAAAAGGAGAGACACTTAATTTTTATACAACTTAGACAATGAATCTGAAACATTAAAATTAACCCTCCTCTCTAGCTATAAAATTCGTCTACATTTATGGGAATCAAACTAAGGAATAATAAAAATAAGCTGAAGCAGAATAGATTCATGACTTAAACTTTATAAAAAATAGAAAATATATTTTAGCTAGTTATCCATACACAGTGAGTAACAAACTAAACAATTTATATCAGCATCTACCTGTTTCTTGGTCAACCTAGTAGCAAAAAAGACATTGCAATTATTTTTTTATTGACGAAAGACCATTCTAGGTATTCCTTTTACCAATCTCAAAGCATGACTGTTCAAATTTCAAGTGTCCATGATAATTAATACAAATTAGCTATGCACAATTAGCATGAGTTAGCAAGTTTTACAAATTACTGAAAATACTGAGACTATTCTTTTCTCTGAAAATTTTCTTAAAAAATTTTTTTCTTATTGAAAATAAAAGTATATGCAAAAGAGAAGTATATGCATATACAAAGTTCGGGTCATGGTTTTACAGACTAAGTAACATGTTCAGTGCTCTGTTCTACCTGCCAGTTCCCTACAGAGAGCCTGGGGTCTTTAAGAGCTTGCAAGGGGCCATCCAAGGCACACAGCAACTGATCTCTATCTCCCTGGAGCAAGTGAGGAAGACGGAGGGTGAAAAGCCAGTGGATGGAATGGAGTGTGGCTATTTGCCTCCAGGAACCACTGCCTCCTCTGCTGTGAGACCAGAATTAGATGGTGCTGGTGCTCCATTCACATTACTGAATGTTTTATTCAACAATTCTATTAAAGAATCCTGGTCAAAAGGGGGAAATAAAGAACAAAATTTCAAATTCTCATATACTCCAGATTTCGGGAGCCACAAAGGCTGAATGAACTCCTGAAACTACTGCCCTGAGATCTTTAAGCCTTAAACCAAAATCATGCTCTGGAGGCATCTTAAGCCAATCAATAGCTTAGCTGCATTAGAATTAATGTGTACTATGAGTACTATTGTCCTTTTAAGATCTACCTATACGTTATCAAATTGACCACTGCAATTTGAATTATTAAGTTGGGACCTTAGGGCCCAGTGAGTTGATGTTAATGTGGGAGGAACAATACAGTATTAAGTTTTTAAAAAAGTAAAAAGTATTAAGATTCCAACTGAAATCCAACACTTACCTTTTCACAAAGATACACTGTTGTTCCTCTTCTCGCTGATTCTTGATCCAAAGCGTTTCCTGGCCGAATAAAATGGCTCACATCAGCAATGTGAACACCAACCTGAAAAATAAAAGGATGGCAGAATGTTTAATGGGTAAACGTATAAACCAGAGTTTTAGCGAAAAGACATTTTTCTAAAATAGAAATAGACTTAGTCACATCTACGATTTCTGTCTTTGACAAATGCCTCTCCATTTCTGCAGTGGCAACTAGCTACATCAGGCTCACGTGTTCTCAAACAGAAGTTATATACTTATCCAAAAGAAAGGAACTACAAAAGCAGAATTATATTTATTTTTGCTTTTCCTCAGTTATTTTTTGCTTCCCTCTTCACTCAACCTATTAGGTGCCTTTGCTCTAGTGCAGGGGTCCTCAAACTACAGCCCACGGGCCACATGCGGACCGCCGAGGACATGTATCCGGCCCGCCAGGTGTTTTTGTCCCGTTTTGTTTTTTTACTTCAAAATAGGTTATGTGCAGTGTGCACAGGAATTTGTTCAGTTTTGTTTTTTTAAACTATAGTCCGGCCCTCCAACGGGTCTGAGAGACAGTGAACTGGCCCCCTGTTTAAAAAGTTTGAGGACCCCTGCTCTAGTGATTTACTTTTTGCCTTTTACCCTTGGGAGCTATCCGGGAATGATTCTAGGGAAGCAGAACTATATCCCGATAGTAGAGTCAATACAATACAAATACCTCCAAATTTCCATTTTTAAGTTCCCTACAATGTAGAGCATCATCTATGTCCGTACATCCTGGTGGGTCCACACTACACACGCAAAGATGCCTCAGGTCTTCTCGGTTCTTCATGTCCTAGGAGAGGTCAGGTCACAAAGAAATGCACAATCACTCTGAAAACAGTATGCAACAGGGCTCTCGGGAACTCAGTGGTATCTATTTATAAAGAAGCTACCTATTTCCTTCATAAGAATCACACACAATCATCTGCCAACTCTTGGAAGATTTTTGATGCTTGAGAATTCTGACATATCCTACACATCCCCTTCCTAAAAACTTGCTCTTCCAATAGAAAGGCAAATTGTTTTCTATGGTCCTCAGAGAGGGTTCCAACTCTAAGACCAAGCTCACTGCCTTCCATTCAAGTCTGACTCATAGCGACCCTACAGGACTAGGTAGAAGTCCCCCAGTGGGTTTCCAAGATTGTAATCCTTTACAGGAGTGGAAAGCCTCGTCTTTCTCCCACGGAGATGCTGGTAGTTTTGAACTGCTGACCTTCAGTTTAGCAGCCCAACACGTAACCAACACACCACCAAGGTTCCTTTCAAAAAGCTATACCCAGCTAAATGCAGAGGGGTATATAAACAAGGAGGTTTCTACATATCCAAAAGCCCACATTGAACCTAAACAAGCACATGTTAATGGACAAAGTCACTAAGCATTGACTTACATTTTCAGTAATGCTCCAGGGCATTTTGGGCAGGAAGCTGAGAACAGCCTGAGAGAAAGCCTGATGGGGAACATCATGCTCAAGTAGCAAAACTTCTGTTTCAGTTTCTTTATCTCCAGCATCACCCAGATTTCTCACGAAGTGTCCCTGAAATCAAAACGTATTCTTAGAAAGGTATACTTTACAGTTTTCGGTTTGTCAATTTATGTTTCTCTTTAAATCAAATAAACAATTTAAGTCAAATAAATTTGATCACTCTAAAATATCTCAATATTTCCCTACTTTTTCTTAAAACTGACGTGTCAGTAACTTACAGCGAAAGATGACTGAGCCATTCAAATCATTTATCATGGACCCTTCATGAAGATTCAGTCCTTTAATCACAAAATCCATTGGCATTCAGTAAATTCAGTCCACAGCTGTTATTCTTTCCTCATCGGAAATATTGTGCTCTTAAAAAAGAAAGAAGTACCACCCATCACCCCCCATAACACACAGAAATGAAGCAAGAAGTTCTGACCCAGTGTGGCACCAGGTATACACTGTCTCCAGAAATGAATTTTGGCTTCACTCACTAGCTTGAAAATTTAATTTTTGACCATGCTTATATCAGAAAAGTATAAGCCATGTTGAAGAAGTGGGACAGCACCCAGGTATAAAAAGTAAGGAAAAGACTGAAGAGTTTGTGTTTTCACTGGGCCTATGTGTGGTGGGGTTTCTTGAAGCTGCTCTGTGCCCAATCCCATTGCACCAGGGCCAGGCAGACAGGGCTGTAGCAGAGCCGTCCCAGCCCCAGTCTGCTCAGGCAATGACTGGGCAGGGAGGGTACCTGGCCGCACAGGCCTCCCAAGTGGTCAGTTCGAATTGTGTTATCTGAGCAAGTGACACATGCCCTCTGTACACCTATGGCTTTCAGGCCCACCCAGTAGTGTTCACACAGGTAGGAAGTCCAGGAGGCTGAACAGTATCCAGTCAGCCAAACAAGAGGGCAGATGGCACAATACTATGGCCCTTCTCTTTACTTGCCCCTAGTGGCATAATCTGAGGTGTGCAGACCCAAGCACCTCCTGGACTGAGACTCACAGCACAACCAACCCCTATTTCTGAAGCAGAAAAATGATTTCTTCCTACCCTGAAAAAACAGTCTACAGAGCACAGAAGGAACCCTGCAGGAGGAGGCGCTGTTTTGGAAACTCAAAAGCAGGCTGGTGAGGATCTGTTGCTGAGAGCCAGGCCTCTACAGCAACAAGCAGAGACTTACCATGAAATCCACTGCACATGAAAACAATAATAAAAGGAACGTGAAGCTAGCTGTCTTGTTGCCACTGCATCAATGCTGACACATAGCGACCCTCAATGGGTTTCTGAGACTGTAACTGGTTACGGGAGTAGAAAGCCCAGTCTTTCCTCTGTGGAGCTGCTGGTGTTTCAAACTGCTGACCACACGGATGAAATAAACAATGGTACAGCAAACAAACGGGTCGCATGGTATTCAACAAGGTATAACACACAGGCATTTGAAAATAAAATCTAAAAAACGCAGGAATCACAAAGCATCTATGTCCTGTTATTTTAAAGTTTAAAATGTGTTTCAAATACAAAACCAAGCAACGAAGCACACTGTTACTGAGTCAATTCCAATTCATAGCAGTCCTACAGGACAGAACAGACAGCTGCTGTCGGGTTACTTAGACATTAAAACTTTATGAAAGCAGAAGCCAACTTTATTCCCAAATATTTTAATAGAGCATCCTAAAATAAAAGTAACGCTCCAAGCTCACATTTGGGTATCTGGAATTTTTGGGCCAACCATCGACAGCAACAATGATTCTCCTTCCTTCTAAGGCAGAAGCCTGTCTGGTTTCGATACGAATTCGAGGGATTCTCTTGTCAGCAGGAGTAAAGAGATGTCTTCTTGACTAGGGAAAATAAGGAAAAGAAGCTCATGGGAGTTAAGAAAACAGAACAAAATACCCTGGGAGTGAGAACAACAAGGTTTGGTTGCATTTTATAGCATTCTTGATGAGACAGCAACAGGTTCCTCACGTACCTCCTTAATGTCAGACCTGGACAGCATGCCACAATACGGTCTCCAGTTCCTTTTGATGATGCCCACAACTCTCCCCGTGGGCTTCAGCATGCTTTCGTTCACAGCTTTCGTCTTAAGCTGAGATCGAAAGAAAAAAATCTTCAGTTACTGTTGTTGTTTTTCAAAACTGTGAGCCAATCTCCAGCATGAGAATATGGATATGGACATTAATACATGCAAGTATTATGTATGCATATGTATGCAAATTATGACACAACACTGAAGAATCCTGACGCTTCAAAATTCTAGAGAAGACCATACCCATCTATTCTCTATAGACCCACACCAACGAAGCAAGGCACAAACATTTTAAGACCAAAACAACTGTAACCAAAGAAAGACGTTGGAGTTTATTCAACTCCTTTCAGTTTTGATCATGAGGATTTAGTGACAAAAATAAACACATCACCTCAAAGTAAAGGCTTTAAGGTATTATGACTACTTTGTGCTACTTAGTACTTGATGGCAACGAGCGAGAACCTACTTTGTACTTGTCAGATGTGTGTGCTCATAGGTTAGAAGCGTTCTGTTAGACTTTAACAATTGATTTAAAAAAGAAATGGATCTTTAAAAGTCCTTCCTCACTGAAAATAAAAACCTGAATAATGCTTATTTCTAGAAATAATCAGAACTTTGTAATATTGTACCTCTCTTCCACTCTCCCATGCTCTGGGGAGTCTCCCATGGAAAATGTTATAATAAAATAGCAGAGTAATGAATAGAATTGATGGAAAAACAACTGCCAATTTCAAATATTTGTACTATTCTTGTAATGAAAACCATGGGATATAATAAGGTCTTAAATGGAAGATTTTTTTAGCTGAGAACTGAGAATATTCTCTTCATAATAAGGAAGAAACTATAAGCCACAACTTATAAGGGCCCAGAAGTACATCTAAGAGAATTTTTTAAGAGTGCATAAAAACATTTCCTGAAATTTTAAGTTGGTAATTACTTAAGATCTCACAAATCAGTTAATGTATACATACTTTTGTATAAATGTATGGTTTGCTTCTTAAGTTGAGAATCTTTTGGTATTTAAATCCATTTACTTAACTCATTTCAAGATAAATTATGGTTATTAAAAAACCCTATGACATTAAGCCTTTTCCAAGTGGTCATGCTAACCAAGATCATAAGGCTCTATTTTGATAGATCTCAAGAAGGACACCGGCTCAGTCTCCTACCAGGTTCTCTTTCTCCTCTTCCCTCTCCGCGTCCTCCTCTGTTGGACCCTCATCGTGTAACACCACAGAAGAAGGTGCCACCCACAGACTCTTGGGTAAAAGCTCCACAGCCACGATATCTTCATGAATAGCTCGGTTTAAGTTTTTAAGTCCTTGTAAGATTATCTGAAGAAAACAGTACATGGCACATGCTCAAATATTTTCAATGGCAAAATAATAATGAAAGTTCAATGAACTAAGTTTCTATGTGCTCTGATACCTATGTGCCACCGTTTTCTCATCAGCAAAAGTCAACGAGAGAGATCAGGGTTCACGAAATATGGGTTGTATTTAAGGTTCCACTGTACTTACAAGAACACAAGAAAAATTATTTCACTTGTCTAAATGTCAGGGTCCTCATTGGCAAAATGAAAACCAGAGCACCTACTTTTATGGGCTGCATTGAAAATGAAGAACATAGGCCTTAAAACAGAAGAGCACTCAGCATATAATGAGCACTCCAAAATTTGGTAGCTATTTGCTTTAAATTGTATGGATAACTAGGGAGCAATTATATGCTGTGCAAATGACGCTGACCATTATCAGTTATAATAGAAGCATAAAATATAAGTCATAAATTAGAAGCATTCATTTTTTACTATTTGATTGACCCCAGGTTCAAAGAACTTTCTACCATAAAGTTTTCCAAAAAATTTTTTTTTACTCTTATTAATCTCTGAATGCCTATAACCGTCCATAAAGACTTTTGAGATTATAGATTGAGAAGCTGAATATCAGTTCTCTTACAAATTCTTAATACGTATTAAAGAAGATAGTGAACAAAACCATATTCACTGGGTAAGGAACTTAACTCCCCACTTGCCTCTTTGTTTTCTTCATCGTCTCCATGCACCCAGACAGTAGCTTCTAAGTAGTTTTCCCTACTGGCTCTAAATGTCCCTTGAAGGTATGCACCAGATTTGATGCCTTGTTGCAGCTTGCTTAAGGGGAGATGCTCTGAAAAGATGATTCTTCCACTCTCTATCTCTTTCTGTAAAACAAGCACACCAAAAGGTGCAGGTCAGTCGGTCTTCTGTACACTCATAGACAGCTATTACCATTACCAGGGAGTGATAAAACGCCTACACTGGCGGCAAACCCATCTCAGCATGGCAGAAATAACTACGAATCTGAGAGAACATAGGTATGAGAAATGTTTCCGATTCTTAGGGCAACTTACACAAATATTCACATTTTTAAAATGACACCGAGGAATTGAGGCACAGAGGTGTTTGTAAGAAACTGCGCGTGTCCCTCCATCCATCCCCCTGAGAGCGGGGCCATCAACGGAGCAGGTAGAGGCAGAGACGCTCATCGGAAGCCTCAGTTCATTGAGGAGAAGGGGCTACTTACTGAGTGTCCTAAATAAAACAACTGTACTTTCCCCTGGCCATTTGAAATAAGGATAGACATGGATGTGGGTTGGGAACCGCTGTAGATCCACAATACTCCATGCAATTCTTAGAGACCTGGAGATCCAAAATCCGGCCTGCGTGGCTACTTTTATTTCTTTCCTGGTTCCCCACCCTCATTGCCAACCTTTTAAAGTGATGTCACACTTTCTCCCTTTCAGGGCTTCACGGCGTTTCTCCCACACGCTCACTTGAAGACCTCAATCCTTCTACCGAGGAGAGAAAACAAGCTGCAGAACACTACTGTCTTTCTTTTTAATCATTTTCTTGGGGGCTCATACAACTCTTATCACAATCCATACAGACATCAATTGTATAAAGCACATTTGAACATTCATTGCCCTCATCATTCTCAAAACATTTGCTCTCAACTTAAGCCCATGGCATCAGCTCCTAATTTTCCTCCTCCCTCATGGACCCTTGATAATTTATAAATTATTATTTTGTCATATCTTGCCCTGTCTGACGTCTCCCTTCACCCACTTTTCTGTTGTCCATCCCCCAGGGAGGAGGTCACATGTAGACCCCTTTCCAACCTACCCTCACTCTACGCTCCCAGTATCGCCCCTCACACCACTGGTCCTGAAGGGATCATCCTCCCTGGATTCTCTGTGTTTGCAGTTCCTGTCTGTACCAGTGTACATCCTCTGGTCTAGCCAGATTAAGGTAGAATTGGGATCATGATAGTGGGGGAGGAGGAAGCATTTAGGAACTACAGGAAAGTTATATGTTTCATCATTGCTACATCACACCCTGACTGGCTCATCTGCTCCCCTAGACCCTTCTGTAAGGGGATGTCCAGTGGCCTACAAATGGGCTTTGGGTCTCCACTCCGCACTCCCCCCAACATTGTCTTTCTACCACTGAAGCTGTCTGTGCTTACAGATCTACCCAAACCTCAGCATTGCACACCCCCTGCAACAAGGAATATGTATGCAGGGAACACTATCTCTACTCTCCTTAAGAATTTTATCCTGCAATTACCTTCTCTCACACACATACAAACTCTCTCCTACTTTAACACTCCCACCATTATAATCACTTAAAAAATGAAAACAAACCAAAACCAGCTGCTGTCAAGTTGACTCACTTATCCTGTGTATTTTAGGGTAGAACTGTGCTCCAATGGGTTTCCAATGGCTACAATCTTTGGAAGTAGACTCTAGACTCTTCCAAAGGTCCTCTGGGTGATGGGACCACCAGCCTTTCCTTTGGTAGCCTTGTGCTTAACCACTCGGCCCCCAGAGCCTCTCAACTTACTACAAATAAAATTTGGATCCCTTTCTAGACATTTGGCCTGATCATCTGGTTCCAAATGCCACAAAACCATTGTCTACAGCTTCTGTGTGCCTACTTTATTCTCATTCTCTCCAGTCTTCCCACTGACTGAAACTTTTACTGGCAAACCATTAGTAGATTGCCTTGGCAAATGGGGTGGTGTATTCCACATCTTAGCAGTTGAAAAAAAATCAATCATGGCCTCCCTGAGACAATTTAACATCACGGTTTCTGTCTGTCCCTGGTAGCACCGTCTTCATTTACTCTACTCTGTTCCTCATCTGCATGTGTTGAAACATCCCATGGCTCAATTCAAGGCCCTCTGCTTTCCTCTATCTGGTTTACTCCTGTCATTTAGTTCCATCTTAAAACCAAACAAAACCATTCTCTCTTGACCGGCCTCCCCTCCCATTCACCAGTCTGTCTTTCTTCTTTCCATCACGGCAGAACTACTCATAGTATTACAACACTGTCTCTGAATTCTCACTGCTCACTCTTCCAGTTCCTTCCCCCGCCATCCCATCAAATCTACTTTTGATAGGACTTTCCCAGTGCTACTGCCAACTGTCATTCTCAGCCCTCATTCACTTGAGCTATCTGGAACACTTGACCAAGACGGCCACCCCTTCCTCCATTCTACTCTTAGCTTTCTTCTTATTTATTTTATCTCTGTCACGGGTTCCTCCTGATGTTTTTGACTTCATGTGGCTCAGTTTTGGAGCCTTCCTCTTCTCCATCCACACTCACTCCCTGGGGATCAGGGCTCGGTGACCTTCAGTCAATGACCCACCTGGCCCACCACTAGTATTTGTTAAATACAGTTGTACTGAAACACAGCCATGCTTGTGTTACTTCTGTCAATGACTGCTTGACTCTAGCCCTTTCCAGAAGAAGCTTGCCTGGGTGAAAATATATATACCTTATGCCTGACAATGGACTTACTGCTGGAATATACAAAGAATTCTTACAAATCAAAAAGACATAGCCACATTAAAAAAGGATTAAAGGTCTTGGATAACAAAGTAAAACAAACGTCATACAATTGGCCAATTAAACAGGCAATTCTGCTCAGGATCTTATCATTAGAGAAACTCCAACTCAAATCACAGTGGGATATCACTTCACAGCCAGCAGGACAGTGAGAATAAAAAAGACAAGTGATTGCAAGAATGTGGAGAAACTGGAACCCTCACACATGACTGGTGGGAATGTAAACGGAGCTGGTCACTTTCACTCATTCAACAAAGAAAACCACCACCGGATGACAGACCCCACTCAAGCTGCTGGGGCTAGTTCATTCAGTGAATAACAGCTTCTTGGAAAATCAGCTCTGAAGAAGGACATGTTGGCAAGTCTACTGTAGGCACTCCGATTTGTAATCCAGCCGTTAATTTGTTTAGGCAAACTGATACAGATTGAACTGTGTCTTCCAAAAGGTTAAAATGAACTTCTAAATCCTTGCACTTGTGATGGTGATCAGATGAGCATTAGAGTGGCTTTTGCTATGGTAATGAGTCCATACTAGAGACTCTTAGTGGTAACCCTTTATTTAGGACAGAGTAGACTGGGGTCTAGAACTTCTGAGTAGCCTCAAAGAAAGGAGCAGAGTAGAAACAAAGGCACACAGCTCTGTAGCTCTGTAGGCAGCCACCTCCCGGCCAAGGCAGGCCAATACTGCCTGCTCAGGGCTGCCAAAGCTGGAAGGGACAGGAATGACTTTCTCCTGAAAGCCCTTCAAAACCAAGGCGCTCTGGGTGTCATGAGTAAAGCATTCAACTGCTGTCTGAGAAGTCAGAGGTTTGAACCAGACAGCAGCTCCCTGGCACAAAGATGAGGCAGTCTGCTTCCTAAAGAATTCAGTACTACAGAGTCTCTGGGAGTGGGAACTGACCTGATGGATGGCAAGGGGCTTAGGTTTTATCTCCAAATCTGTGATAAGCGAAAACACTGCTCTTTAAACCTACTTATCTGTGGTATTTTTGTCACTGGAGCATGAGGTAACTAACAATATTTTGGTTTTTAAATTTGGTAACTATAAAGTCAAAAATATCCTAAAAATTAAAAAATATATATTTTCACTTTTCAAAAGCAAAATGAAACAGACTCAAACATACCCCTTCTTCAGACAAACAGGCCAGACGATCAATGAGCTCAGGGTTAGCAGTTAGGCTCTTTACATATTCTTCACCTGAAAAAAATGACAGTCTCAAGAAATGCCGGTTTAGCAACCCCATCCCACCCATCCTTATGAAATAATTCGGGTACTCTTGTGTGTGACAAGATATTACTTGGGGTAAGCAGGAGACCCGTGATGCCATCATGGCTAATCAGAAGCAATGGGGCAAGCCTATCTCTGAGCTTTTGTTGCTAAGTCAAATCCAGGTGGTGCACAGAGGTGATGATTAAAAACTGCAAAAATGTCAAAGGCAGTTATTCATAACTATGCAAATACCTGTACTAGTTGAGTGAACATCTGGCCATGGTTCTGAAGAGGAGTTTAATAAGCACTTGCAAACATTCACTAACAACTTCTACATTTACTTACAAGTGAAAGCCGGTATCCCTTCTTCTATGGCTTTCTCTTTGTTTTTTCTGTCATTTGTTATGAAGATAACTTGCAGCTGACTGTCTTCTGATAGTTTTTTCAAGTGTTCGTTGTACCATTTGACGGCTACTCGAATAGCTCTGTCATTTCTGTCATTCGCATTTTCTCCCTTTTCTTGTTCAACATAGGTTTCTCTAAATGTAAGGAAATGGAAGAAAAATAAATAAAAGGTAAACAACAAATAGAAACAGAGATACTTTAAAAATTCTAGGACATAAATGCCTGACAACCGCTGAACTTGAATAAGGAGCCACAAACCAAGGAAGGCCAAGAAATGCCCAGAGCTATAAGGAGTTAAAAAAGACAAGGGATTCCTTTTTTCTGAAATTCAAACCTCTGATACACTACATTACTCCTCTTTAAAGGCATCTATTTGTGGTATTTTTGTTACTGGTGTGCAAGGTAACAAAGACACTGATCAATAGATATTCTAACTTTTAAATTTGTTAACTATAAGCCTATGGTGAAGTGAAATTTCTTAATATGGTTCTCTTATTCATGTCTCTATGAGTTGGCACAGAATCCGTGGGTACAATTGAGTCTGTTCGGACCCATATTGACCATATGCACAACAGAACATAACACTGTCTGATCCCTCATTGAGGGCTTCCTCTCTTTACCAGGCTTGATGTCTTTCTCTGACTCATCTCTCCTGAAAATGTGTCCGAAGTACGTAAGGCAAAGTCTTGCCATACTTGCCTCTACGGAACACTCTGGCCATGCTTCTTCCAATTCCCACTAAGTGATTGAGTGGATTTTGCAAATAGGGTGTGTGAAATACTATAGGGGGTTGTTTTAGTTACCACTCCCCTATGTATGAGAACAAGGCATCTCAGAAGGAGGGAAAAAGAATTCCTGGAGCCATCAAGGAAGATCCACCAGGGGAGCACCTTCTCTAGAGATCCTGCCTGAATTTAGGAAGGCAGCTAAGGCCTTGTCACTAGAGACCAGAAGGCTGCCCTCAAAGGCTGTGTGAGTGCAGTGAGGCTCACAGGCAGTATCTTCTGCACCAAACCAAACTCACGGCCATCGAGTCAATTCTGACTTCCAGTGACCCTGTACGACAGGGTAGACCTGCCGCTGTGAGTTTCCCAGAGGTAACTGTAGAAAGCCTATCTTTCTCCTATAGAGAGGCTGGTGCTTTCAAACTATGAACCTTGGAGTTAGCAGTTCAAAGCATAGCCACTGCTCCACCAGCTCCTTCTTCTGCACAGCCTGCGGCAATTACACAAAGTACTTCCCTAAATTTAGCCAATTTCATAGTTCTCTGACATTTAATCGAATTGCTACCCACCTGTGGTGCTCATTAGTGAACGTATAGAAGTGTTTCTCCTGATGACTGGCCACATCTCTGATTCGTTTGTACACCGGGGCACTACGATTTCTCACTTCGTGGAGAACGGTTTGTAACACAATGACATTCCTGATGGCCGGGTCCTCCAGAACATCAATCTTAAAAAAGAAAAGAACGGGAAAGTTACTTTTATAAAACTACATTAAGTCACACGTTGTTTGATCGAACACAAAACCCATTCAGCGGACAAACACCGATTAGGCATGCACACAGGAGCAGTTTTGCTGTAGGAAAAGTGATAATGGCCTTTCCACCGTTCGGGACTAGTAAAGAAGGGTAGGAGATAAGCAGATCGAATGGAAAACTCGGTAGAATTAAGTCCGTTCATAAAGAAATACGTCGGCCCACAAGGCTGCCCTTCCTGGACACTTACAAGCTGCCTGGGGTCGCAGGCCGAAAGCTAGAGAAGCCCTGGTCTCGGGCCTCTAGACGTTAATATCTACGGCAAAGAGACACCAAGGGTTAGAGTAGTGCATGTCCATACTTCTCACGACCCAAGGACTGAAAAATGACGGGACATGAAACAGCTAGGACACGGGAGGCGTGACTCCTGGTCACTCTCGCCTCTCCCTGGGCGTCGGACGGCACCCACATGCCCTGCCCGGGGGCCCCGTTCTCCTATCTGCCACCAGAAGGGTGGCTCGCCCTAGCCCCGCCGGCCAGCGTACCTGATGCAGCAGCACGTTGGTGTCCGGCAGCAGGTAGTGCGGCAGCGGACAGAGGCTGCTGGCCGGGTCCCGGGGCTGGGGCTCGAGGGCCGGCCCCTCCTGCGCCCCGCTGCACGCTGCGCAGCCGGCCGCCCCGCAGCCGATGTCGTCGCGCAGGTAGTGCTCGCGCACGACCTTCATCACGCCGCCAGCTCGCGTCTTCTTTAAGAAGGTCTTGGACTTGAGCATTTTGACACCGCGCGCGGACCGCCGAACTTGGGTAGCGCTCTTCCGGAAAAAAAAGTCTGTGAGGGATCTGCTGGCACCACCACCTTGCCTCAACCCGAAATTCCCAGCTGCCCACTCCAGGAGGCGGTTCAAGGCCGCCGGCGGGGGAACGCCGCGATTCCCATTGGTCGGCTCCTTAGTAGTGCTTGAGGATTGGGCGGCGGCGAAGAGTGGGCGGGGCTATTATTTGTTACCGCCCTTTTCTGGGAGGGGGCCGGTCTTGGACTCTAGTACCCAGCATGCATTGCTTGCGGAACATCATTGGCCCTGGGAAAGTCGAGTTCCGGCGGCGTGAGCATGGACTCGCCTTCTCTTCCGTTTTCTCCCGGGCTTTGGAAGGGTTGTCTTGGTGACGGGTCCTAACGGTCTCCAGTTTGGAGAGCTAAGGGGCTGCATTCTGGGTTGCAAATTGGAAGCGCTTTCGCCTCCTCGAAGTGTCAGGGGGTGGCGGCCGGTCCGACCTTCGACGTGGAGAAATTGGAGCCCTGCAGGTAGCTGGCGGCGACCGTTCGCTTCCCCCTTTGTCCTTTCCAGTGCAGAGCAAATAATTGTCCGATCCTGCCAAATGCGGGGCTGCTGCTTCTACCGGAGTCCTATGTAGTCCCGGAGATGTTCCTGCCTGTATTTCACCTTTGCTTCCCGCTTTCCCGTTAGAAGAAAGGTGGCCAGTCCTACGGAAGTTCGTGCCCTTCCCCAGCACACTTCTTTACTGACTTAGGGACAACTTGAAAGCTGTAATATAGTAACGTGTAGTACTAAAACATAGGAATGGCAAACATTCTTAGGATACTTGAGTGTTTTTTCTTCCAACTTCTTGTTTTCATGTGGGACCTGATTAGTATATATAAAAACAAATTTTTGTCACTGTGTTTCCCTATGTTGTTTATCCATTGATGTCCATTTGCCTGTAGTTAAAACGGAAACTTAACTTTGACATTCAGGGTCTTCCACCGCCTTAGCCAGACGTTCTTGAAGGTTTTATGTGTGCATTTGTGGTTAGAGAGTGAGAGAAGTCACTACTCCAGTTCTCAAAAGATTTACCCCAAGGGAACAACACTACCTTCTGCTGTTGATTTATACTACCTATAGCTCGACAGCGACCTCCATCGCTGCATGCCCCGCAGCCCCGCAGCCCCGCAGCCCCGCCTTTTCACTGTTGTTCGGGGCTGTGGAGTCTGTACCCACTCAAAACAACTGTATGTGCAGCAGAAATCCTAACTGTAAAGCCTTCCCCTGACCAGCTCAGAAGAGGCCTCTTCTCTTTCATCCCCCACTGCCTTAATCAGTAAAATTCTTGGATAATAATGATCTAGGGCTTATCCTTTATCTTGGCAAGTGTATATTTGTTTGTTTGTTGTTCCTGTAGGAATCCTTTCTGTGCCCAGGAACTGGGCTTTTTATTGACCAAAGTGTTACAAACCATAATAGGATTTAATGAGTATATGTTCTGAGCACTCATTTGCTCTAATAATCTGGCCTCAATATGGGATCTTCCTGATGGCCTTGGGAATCCTTAGTATTACTTTATTATGATCACTTTGTATTCTACTGAATGTTTGAGTACATTTAATGTTTTTTTGTTTTTTCATCCACTGAAAGTTTCATCCACTAAAATTGATTTTCAGAGACAAAAACGGACCTATGATAAAAAAATGTCTCGAAAAATTCCAAAGGAGTCCAAAAAAGTGAACATCTCTAGTTCTTTGGAATCTGAAGACATTAGTTTGGAAACAACGATACCTACAGATGATATTTCCTCGTCAGAAGAAAGAGATGGTAAAGTCAAAATCACAAGACAGCTAATTGAGCGGAAAGAATTACTTCATAATATTCAGTTACTGAAAATAGAGCTGTCCCAGAAAAATATGATGATCGACAACTTGAAAATGGATTATCTTACAAAGGTAAGATCCACAGGAAATGTTTGTTATCTGTGTGCTTTCTTTGGAGTCCTAGTGACATAGTAGTTATGCTTTGGTCTGCGAGCCAAAAGGTCAGTAGTTCGAAACTACCCGCTGCTCCTCAGGAGAAAAACAGGGCTTTGGACTCCTGTAAACAGAAACTCTTGGGGGAAGTTCTTCCTTGTCCTATGGGGTTGCTATGAGTCAGCATTAACTTGATGGCAGTGAGTTTGATTCTAGTATGTTTTCTTGAGCTGCTGACTCCAAGGTCAGTGGTGTAAATCCACCAGCTGCTTCTTGGGAGAAAGATGAGGCTGTCTACTTCCATAAAGACTTAGAGCCTTAGAAACAATATTCCCATATTGTTCCAAGGGGTCAGAATCAACTGGATGGCATGGATGTCATCTGGAATAGATGTGATGGCAGTGAGTTTAGGTTTCTTTGGTTTGGCATTGACTTCATTAAGGGTCTCCACTGGCACAGTGGTTAAAACACTTGGCTACCAACTAAAAGGCCAGCAGTGCCAACCCACCAGCCACTCTGTGGGACAAAGATGTGTCCGTCTGCTTCAGTAAAGATTGAGAGCCTCTGAGACCCTATGAAACCATTGAATCCACAGGAGTTTCGTTTAGGTGTACATATTAAAATTTAGCTTTGTAATTGGATGAATATTTCTGCTTACCAAATAAAGAGTCCTGAAAAAAAA